AGCTTATCTTAAAAAGATAAATACCATCTATCTAAAACCATCAGCTAAGGTAGAAGCCTTTCTGAACACAATCAGGGTGAAGTAAGGATGCCCATTATCACCACTATTATTCAATATTGTACTTGAAATGCTAGCAATAGCAATAAGATGAGAAAAAGAAATTGAAGGAATTAGAATAGGTAATGAGAAAACAAAACTGTCACTCTTTGCAGATGACATGATAGTATACTTAGAGAATCAACTAAAAACTATTTGAAATAATAAACAACTTTAGCAAAGTGGAAGTACATAAAATAAACCCACATAAATCATTAGCATTTCCACATATAAGCAACAAAGTTCAGCAGAAAGAGAAAGAAAGAGAAATTCCTTTTCAAAAACTGTAGACAATACAAAATATTTGGGACTCTACTTGCCAAGACAACCCCAGGAACTATATGAACACAACTACAAAACACTTTTCACACAAATAAAGTCAGATCTAAACAACTGAGAAAATATTCATTGTTCATAGATAGGCCAAGTCAATATAATAATAAAAAAACTCCCCTAAATTTCTTTTTATTCAGGGCCATACCAATCAAACTGACATAGTTATTTTATACAGCTAGAAAAAATAACAACTAAATTCATCTGGAAGAACAAAAGGTCAAGAATATCAAGGGAGTCAATGAAAGAAAATGTGAAAGAAGGTGGTCTAGCCTTACCAGATCTCAAACTGCATTATAAAGTGGTAATTATCAAAACAACCTAACATTGGCTGAGAAAAGTAGTGGTGGATCAGTGGAATAGATTAGGTATACAATACATTGAAGTAAATGACCATAATAATCTAGGATACAATAAACCCTAAAATCCAAACTTTTGGGACAAAAACTCATTATTGGAGAAAAACTGGAGGGAGAGGGGACTGGAAAACAGTATGGCAGGAAATAGGTATACACTAACAACTCATATTGTATATCAAGATAAGATCAAAATGGGCACATGATTTACAAATAAAGGGTGATACCATAAGCAAATTGGGAAAGCCTGCAATAGTTTACCTGTCAGATCTATGGATAAGGGAAGACTCTAGGACCAACTAAGATAGAGAAAGCCTTACAACATGTAAAATCAATCATTTTGATTATATAAAATTAAAAAGTTTTTACACAAACAAAACTAATGCAACCAAAATAAGAAGGAAAGCAGAAAACTGGGAACAAATTTTTTATAGCAAGTATCTCTAAGAAAGGCCTCATTTCTCAATTATATAGAGAACTGAGTCAAATTTATAAGAGAACAAGTCATTCCCAATTGATAAGTGATCAAAGGATATGAACAAGCAGTTTTCAGAAAAATCATATTAAAAAATGCTCCAAATCACTATTGATTAGAGAAATACAAATTAAAACAACTTTGAGGTACCACCTCATACCTATCAGATTGGCTAATATGACAAAAAAAGGAAAATGATAAGTGTTGGAAAGGATGTGGAAAAATTGGGACACTAAGGCATTGGTGGCAGAATTGTGAACTGATCCAACCATTCAGGAAAGCAATTAGGAACAATGCCCAAAGGGCAACTAAACTGTGCATAACCTTTGATCCAGCAATACTACTACTACTAAGTCTGTATTCCAAAAAGATCATAAAAAGGGAAAAGGACTCATCACATGTACAAAAATATTTATAGCAGCTCATTTTGTGGTGGCAAAGAACTGGAAATTGAGGGGATGCCCATCAATTGGGGGAATCTGAATAAGTTGTGGTATAAGATTGTGATGGAATATTATTATGCTATAAGAAATGATGAGCGGGTGGATTTCAGACAAACATGGAGACACTTATATGAACTGATTCAAAGTGAAGTGGACAGAACCAGGAGAACACTGTACACATTAACAGCAATATTGTACGATGAAAAACTGTGACTTACTCAGCTATGCTCAGCAATACAATGATCCAAGAAAATCCCAAAGGATTCATGATGAAACATGTTATCTGCCTCCAGAGGAAGAACTGATATCTGAATACAGACTAAAGCATACTATTTTTTCTTTTCTTTCTTTCTTCCTTTCTTTCTCTTTCTTTCATTCTTTTTAAAATTTTTTGTTCAAGTTTTCTTGTACAAATTGAATAATATGAAAATATTGTACATGATTACACATGATCTACACCAGATTGCTTGTCATCTCAGGGATGGGAGATGGGAGAGAGCTTGGGATAGGATTTGGAACTTGAAACTTTAAAAAAAAAGAAGGTTAAAATTTGTTTTAACATATAAATGATGGAAAAAATAAAATGTTATTTAAAAAAATGAAACTGAATGCAAAAATAGATGCTTTGCCAAGGCTTTGCCAACCTTGATCTTTCTCTGATTGGTTAAATTAGAAAGTTGACCAGATAAAATATAGACCAACCAACCAACTGACAGATAGATAGATAGATAGATGATAGATAATCTTTAAGACATGGATTCTAGGCAATGACTTAGACTATAATCTCCAGCCCCAACCCTAAGATATCAAATCTTTAACAGATGAGTATTCCCAGACTCCAGGGGCCGCTGACTCTGAGTCATACAGTGTCATGGATGAAGGGGTGACTAATAGGCTCACTGACATAATCTGTTTTGTAGGGTGACTCCAAGAATGACTCCTGGATCTTTGCCCTAGCCATCCTGCTCAGCAGCACTTTTGTCTACAACAGCATGAACACCATCAACCAGCAGGCCTTGGAGCAGATGCAGTATCGTTTTAGAATTTCAGAACATCCATAACAGGCTTGGTGCTAATTTTCTCTCACCAGGATAAAAGATAAACTATCCACACTTTAGAAGCTGTCATCATGAGTTATTTTGCTCAGAAATACACGTTGCTAGGTGACTAATCTTAGGACCAAACCAGACCAGCTAATCCTCACATGACAGTCTGGTACCAGGCCCGCAAATGTAGCCTTGGTTGGGCCTTGGTTGAGCTTACTGTTAGACATCAGTATTCTACTTCCATGTTCAAGAACTCTGAAATGACTCAATCATTCCATCTTCCTCTCTGCCTTATCGCTGCCAAGCCTCATTTTCTCCTCTCTTTCTCATCTCACATCATTCATCTGTCTTCCTTTACATCCCATCTTTCACCCATGTCTCATATGAAGAGGTGGCCCCTCTCCTTGCCAAAGCAAACCCTTTACATGGTCCCTTGATTCCATCTCATCTTGTCTTTTCTAACAGGTTATCCTTTCTATCATCCTTGCCCTTTCACTAATCTTCAATCTCTGCCTACCTATTGACTGTTTCCCTGTCACCTACAAAAACAGCCATGTTTCCTCCATCCTTAAAAAACCTTCACTTAACACTATGAATTATCTCAAAAAGTTACAATCCTATTTCTCTACGTTCGTTCCCAGTGAAACTCATTGAGAAGGTGGTCTATAATCAGTGCCTCTGCTTCCTTTACTCACTCTCATCTATCCCTTCTGTAATTTACATTCTGACCTCATCATTCACTGAACCTCTTCTATTCAAAATTGCCAATAATCTTTAAATTGCCATATCTACTGGTCTTTTCTCAATCCTTATTCTTCTTGACTTCTCTGCAGCCTTTGCCACTGTCGATCAAGCTCTCGATCTCCTTGACAGCAGAGACCATTTTTTGGCCTTGATTTGTATGCTAAGCACTTAGAACACTGTCAGATGCATAGTGAACATTTAATAAATGCGTCTTGATTGGCTGGTTCAGTACCAGGCCTTGTGTTCTAATACTATAGCAATCAGGAATCATAATGAGACCTGGAGTCTCACCAAGTTGATTGAAGAAACTTCAGGCTGATCAGGGACTCCTCTCTAAAGTGCTTCCTTTCTCCTTTTACATCTGTGATCGAAATCCCATGAGTACAGAAGGGAAGGTGGGAGAGAGAATTTATAAGACTCACTGCAGGGAAGGGAAGATACCACAAGTCAAACTGGGAACTGATGATGGGGGGTGGGTGTTTCCTTTTCCTTATCTGTGATCTTAGATATGTAACAGAGTTGACAAAGCTAATCAAAGTCAAATCCTCACCTAATGCTGTTAGAGAAGAAGACTCAGCAGAGTTTGTGGGCTTCTTCCCAGACTTTGTGTGGACTGTACGGGATTTCACCCTGGAGCTAAAGCTAGACGGCCACCCCATCACCCCAGATGAGTACCTGGAAAATGCCTTGAAACTCAGTAAAGGTAATTTATTAGGAGTTAAGATTGGGCCATGGTTGTCCCTTGGCAAAGATGGGGAATGGACAACAATTTTTTTCCTTTTCTTTGGTGCTTAGCTGTTTATTCTTGGGCTTAGCTGTTTATTTTTTTGAATCTCATGGACTATGGAAATGGAGGCTGAAAGCTATCAAGACTCTCCTGGCTTTGTTGAGGGTCAGTTAATCTCTGTTGTAGCTCCAAAATTTCCATAATTTAGTGACCTCACCCAAGGTGGGGTAGTCCCTGAGAGAACTGATTTTTGCCAACTTCTGTGATGGGTTGGTATCTTATGAATTTATGAAGGAGGCTGATGTACTTGTATGTCCTTCAGTTGGTTGGTGAGCTTGTTATTTCAGTGAAAGGGAACAATGTGATTTTAAGGGTTATTTCATTTAGTCCAGGACACAGTCTGAGGAATTCTTCCACTCTAGTAACAGCATAGACTTTGTTCATAACAAGAGGAAGATAGTCATATCCTTGAGAAGGCATGTTGTACATCAAAATGGGAATGACATTTGGAGTCAGAGGCCCTGGGTTCAAATTAAACCTCTGGTGCTTACTGCCCATGTGACTTTGGGAAATTTGGACATTTAACGCCTCTGAAACTCAGTTTCCAAATCTATAAAATGAAGAGTTTGGACCCCAAGATCTCAAAAAAAAAAAAAACTCTAGCTATGGATCTATTAGCTAGTGAAGACAGAGCGCTTCTCCCCTTGAGAATTCTACAGAAATATATCTCAAAATATACCTCAAATATATCTTGCTTATCCCAAAGATTTCAGACTGACCATCACATGCTCCCATTCAGCTCTGTCATTGCTCTAGTAGCCTTTCTTCTTCTAACACTTCACAAGGGTTTATAAATCCAAATGTACAAATCTCTAAGTATGCACTATTTTCATTGTATGCTGATAACTCCCGGATGGCATACAGGCAGAGATGCTGATCTCTCTGGAAATATCTCTAAATCACGTTTGGCAATGAGTTTCTTTAATGTCAGTCAAAAGGCATTCATTAAATATCTACACCACTAAAAGGACTGTGCTAGGTGCTCAGCATACAGAGACAAAAATGTCTGCCCTCAAAAAGCTTACGTGCTAGTGGGAGAAAACATGTGAAAGGTAAGTGAATAAAAATATATACAGAATAAATGTGGGCAAAAAAGGAGGTAGAAAGAACTAAAGAACCATGAAGATCATCAAAGGCCTCTGTAGGAGGTACTGTCAAAACAGAGGGCTGCACAGAGTTACAGGCTCCAAGAGGAAAAGGTGATAGGGAGAAAAGTCCAGGCATAGGAACTCCGTGGCCAGAAACACGCAAATGAGTGATGGAATGTCATATACAGAGAATAAGAAGGCCAGTGTGATTGAAATCGAGGATGTAAGGAGAATAATATGAATCCAATCTAGGATTAGAACCAGGTTGGGAAAGGTTTAATAGCAAAGTGTCATGTTTACATTTGGTTCCAGAGGCATTAAGGAAGCACTATAGCTAGTTTATTGAGCCAGGCAATACCACAATCAGACTTGTTCATCTGGTATATCAATTCGGGAATGTGCAATGAGTAGAAGAGAGGAGGAAGTGGAGGATAGAAGACCAGTTAGGAGGCCACTGCAAAAGCCAAAGTGAGAGGTAATGAGGATCTGAACTCAGGTGACCATATGGTGTAAGTGGATAGAAGGCAATGAATTCAAGAGATGTTGTGGGGGTAGAATGCAACTAACTGGGTAGAAAGGATATGCCTGAGAAAGAAGTGTTGAAAATGACTTCTGAGACAGTTTCTTTTCACAATGGTTATTTCTGTTTGTAGTGATAGAATTGTTATTTACTTCAAACAAGGAGCATTTGCTTTTATTAACCTGGGAGCTTATCTTCTTGGCAATCTTAGCCTTCAGCTCTTTTCATTTTAGGGAGCCACAATTCTCTTTCTACAATATCTATACTTAGTCCAGTAATTTGCTGAATTCTATCTAACCATAGCTCAACTATGAATTGGTGAGAGGTTCCATTCAGATTTGAGGCAAATTCATTTTCTCTGCATGTTTTAGGTGTCTCCTCTGAATATCACAAAACACTATTCTTACAAGAAGTGAACTGTTGCTTGATTTCTAATAATATCTCCCTAATCACTTCTAGTTTTAAAAATTCTATGTCTATCATTTTATCTTAGAAGTGGATACATGAAGACTTGAATACAGTAATTACCAGTCTTAAGCATCTTCATCACCCTCTTGTCCCAGGCCTGTGCCTGACCATGATCTCTTTTTCCCTATCCCTCAGGCGAGCATCCCAAAGTTAAGATGGCAAACCTTCCACGAGAGTGCATCAGAAAATTCTTTCCAAAACGGAAGTGTTTTACATTTGACCGTCCAACAAATAATAGGTCATTCTTAGCCCAGCTTGAAGATGTCCAAGAAAGCCAGCTGGAGCCTGCATTCAAGGATCAGGCAGAAAACTTCTGCTCTCACATCTTTTCCAATGCAAAAACCAAGACCCTTAGTGGGGGAATCATGGTCAATGGGAATCGTGAGTTTTCTTTGCTCCAATGTATACTTGATTGGGATTGGATGTGTGTCCTTTGTTTCTTGTATGTGTAGAGGTATTATAAGATTTTTGTTTTAATGTCCTTTTGAGCTTGGTTTTCATTGTCCTTGTTTCCCTGGCTTTAAGTTAAAAAAAACGCCTAGGAATATGTACTCTGAGACAATGTCAATGATCTTTGAAGGAGATTAAATTAGATCAAATTAAATTAGAGAGGAACCACAAGTGTAGAAAAAAGCAATTGACTTAATTCTCCGAATATATAACATATTTAAATAGAACAGCATAAACCCATGACTTTGACTTCTGTTTCCGACAATATTCTAGAGCACATTACTAAGAGGATGGCTTGTAAGCACTAAGAAAGGGAAGTAGTGTTCACTAAAATCCAGCAGATTAAGCAAATTTTCTTCTTTGATACTGTAACTGGATTGATGTAGATCAGAGAAATAGTGTCAACCTAATATAGATTTTGGCCGAACATTTAACAGTGTATCATGCTATGATAATGAACAAAATAGAGATATAAAAGAGATGGTAATACTGTTAGGTAGACTCAGAACATGTTAAATGACCAGACCCCCAAAATAACCCTCAATAACTTGAGACAAAATTGAAGGGACGTCTATATTGCTATGACTCAAGTTTTTAGAACATTCTCAGTAACGTTGACAAAGTTAAAGATGATGCAACTGGAAAGATGATCCAATGTGCAGATAGCATACAGCTCAGAAGAACAACCAATACATTGAATGAAGAAATGAGACATAATGTTATCCTGGCAGAATAAAACAATGACTCTAAATGAATGATGGAACCTGATCAGAATAAATGCAAAGTTCTCCATTTGGTTACAAAAATCAACATACCTAGAGGGTAGGGGAAACAGAGATCGAAAATAGTTCTTGGGTAAAAGATCTGCAGTAGTCTCAAGTGCAAAGTTATTCAATGCCTTCATTGCCAAGAATAAGCCAAATATTTGGATGCAGTTAGGCCACATCTGGTATTCTGTGTTCAGTTGCGGGCACCTCACTTTACAAAACACATGTACAAGATCAAACATTTCCAGAAAAGGACAACTAAAATCATTGAAATGACTAAAGTTCACATAAGAACAGGCCCATGGAAGAAGGCTTCCCCTTGACCCCAGAAGTCAAAGTTAGGAGAAATGGGTAGAATTTACCAAGAGGTATATTTAGGTGTGATAAATAATTGAGAGTTCCTAACCATTTAAATGGTTAAAAAGTAGAAGAGGATGCCTTGAGTCATCACGCTCTCCTCATCAGTCAAAATTACCCAGATGTAATTAGAAGCCACTTGCTAAGAATACCGTCACAGAGATCTTTGGCTAAGCATGGGTTCTACTAACTATATAATTAACATTTGGACCAAAATGAATAAAGGTTGCTCTCTGCCTCATCTTCCATTCTATCTTGTCTATCAGGGTTGGGAAAGCTGCTGGAGACCTATGTGAAGACAATCTCTAGTGGAGACATTCCCTGCCTGGAGAATGCGGTATTGGCATTGGCTGAGACTGAGAACTCAGCTGCTATGCAAAAAGCTGCCAAACACTATGTAGAGCAGATGGTGCTAAAGTTGCACTTCCCCACAGAAACCCTCCAGGACCTGCTAAACCTACATACAGACTGTGAGAAAGAAGCCATCTCAATTTTCATGACACATTCTTTCAAGGATGACACACACAAGTTCCAGAAGGAACTGGTGGTATGTTCTCTCAGCTATTTATCCTCCTTCTTACCTCTCTTTTCTGAGTGAAGCCTAGAGACTGGTCAGACTCTTCTCAATTTCTTTTTTTACCTTTGGGTCTCTAGCCCCAGTTCATGAGAGAAGAGACTGATCTCTCTAGAGAGCTAGAGGCATAAATCTCATTTGTCAGGAAAAGATGCTCCCTCCTTATGACACATTGAAATCAGTTATTTCAAGGACAAAATATCACCCACTCACATATTTGCTGAATAAATGGTATCATGGCTCTCTCTGAGCACACTCTCAAGCTCACAGACTCTCTATACACCTTCCCATGCTAGCACCCTTAGATTCCTTGTAGGAGCACCTCCTGCCAGTCCAAATGTCTGCTCAGTCTTACTTAGCGCAATAGCACTCACTTCTCCCACACCAAAGAGAGAATCATTACTATAGGCAGGGAAACAGAGGATTGTTTGAAGGAATCACCTTATTTGGAGAGTGAGGACTTTGGGCCAAAGTGGATAGGTGACTTGTCCATGGTGACCAAAATAAAGAGTAGTAGATTTAAAACTAGAGCCCTTTCAGTTCTCAGGTCAGAATTTTAAGTATCATTCTACCATACTATACATCTTTCCAGAAAAACAAATGCAGGTAGACCTTCTCTCAACAGTTTCTTCAGAATCTCATTCACTCCACAATGAAGTAGGGCACTTGGATAGCCTTTGAGGCATCATGTCAATCATTATCTGTTATTATTGTTATTGCTATATTGCTTCATTTTCCATGATTGTCTTTCCATCTCGATGGCAGCAAATCTTAGAATCCAAGAAGAATGATTTCATCCGTCAAAATGAGGAAGAATCAACCAAATATTGTCAAACTAAGCTTGAGGACCTCTCTCAGACCCTGATGGAAGCCATTTCTCAAGGCACCTTCTCTGTGCCAGGGGGTTACAAGCTCTACAGGAAAGAAAGAGAAAAAATAATGAACAATTATCATCAAGTTCCCAGAAGAGGGATAAAGGTGAGCAAAGACCTGCAGTGACTTTCTCCTACCAATAATCACCCAAGAGGAGAATGTCTAGACACTTGGCTTTTTAGTTCACATCTCAGCTGGAAGTTCTTGACAGAAATCTCTTCTTCCTGCCTAGAGAATATGCTGTGGAATTTAGGAAGCTAGGCCACATGAGGGTCTTAACAGGCCAGGCCAGCTGCAGGCTAGCTTAGTACCTCAGGTTCCAGCTTGGAATGAAATGAGAGGCTCATAGCTGTACCTCGCTGTGCTTTGGTCTTTTGGTATATGCGGACAAGTAGTCATATCAATATTCTCTGTCTTTAATCTCCCGAGATAATCATATCCCCAAAATGTTGTCAATACCTTTTAAGAAAAATAATATTCTAGCATACATAGCAGATATTGATCCTACCACAGGGGGTGTGCCCTTCTCAGCATCTGACTCAGTCTGGAGAAAATTATGTGTGCCTGTCTTGTGTGCTTGTCCAGGCAGATGAGGTCCTCCAAAGGTTTCTACAGTCACTGGCAATGACAGGAGAATCCATCCTGCAGACAGATCAAGCTCTCACTGACAAAGAGAAGGCCTTGGAAGGTAGAGGGGGATGGAGTATGATGACCTAGTCATGCAGGGGATTTGGTGGGTTTGGAACAAAAATTTCTCTAAGGGCCTCAGTGTGACATGAAGATTTTCCTGCAATACTTGGGATTCCTTCTTTACTGTACCAGTCCCTACTGGATTTGTAAACAGCAACTGTGACCACAACCAGTGGGTCAGAGAGGCTGCTCTCTCAGACTTCCTCAGCTCTGCTTCTCTGGGTCTAATCAAGAAAAAAGAAATTTAGGAATTTCCAGTCTCTTTCTCACAGTCAGTTTGGGTTCTGAGTTCAGGAGAAAATATTATGTGTCATCCTCCTGCTCCATGACCTCCAATGACTCCCTATTACTGCCAAGGTCATATATAAACTCCCCCATTCAACATTTAGGGCCTTTCATAAATTGGTCCTTTCCTACCTTTACTGTTTCTTATACCTTACTGCCCTCCATGCATACTATATTTCAGCAACACTGACTTACTTGCAGTTTCCCAGAAACAGCAAACCATCTCTGAACTCCAGGCCATTCCACCAGCTGTCCCCTCTACCATTAATGCTCTGCCTCATACCTCCTCCCTCTACTAAAATCCCACCTTCTTCAAAAGGCCTTTCCTGTCCTTCAAGAGTTAACATGCCTTCCTGCCTTCCTCATTCACTTGCCTCCTATTCATTCTTATATTTCTAGAATCTACAAAATTATTTGGATTCTTTTTATTCCCTTAGAATATCAGCTCCTTGAGGGCAGGAATTAACCTCTTTCATTTATTTGTTGTTTTTGGTCTCTCAAGTGCTTGGCACAGTGCCTGGCCCCTAGTAAACACTAATAAATGCTTGTTGACTGACAAGAGGTGAAAACTAGCATCACCAGAGTTAATTTTCTCATGTTTTCTATTCCATCAAACAGCTGAACAGGTAAAAAGAGAAGCAGCCGAGAAGAAGAAGGAGTTATTGGAACAGCAACAAATGGAAATGCAGCAGAACATGGAAGCTCAGCAGAGAAGTTATGAAGAAAACATCAACCAATTGAAAAAGAAGATGGAGGAAGACAGGATCCAGATATTGAGAGAACAGGAAATGATTCTAGACCATAAACTAAAGGTATATGGAGATTGGGATCAATGGTCATGCTTAGGAAGCAAACCCAGCACCATGGCAGGAAGGGGATGGGCAGATGGACAGGGAAGGCAAATTTGCCTTCATGTGGTCAACATGGTGGAAAGCAAAGGGCCCTGGACTTCTCATCAGAAGATCTCGGTTTGAGCCTTTTCCTCCTCCTCAATTTTCTCACCTCTAACATAAGGTCAATCACATCTGCCTCACTGAGTGCACAGAATAGTTGTACAGATCACACATGATTTGTGTGTCACTCATAGAGCATCCCCCCAGTTCTCACAGTGACCTGCCCAGGCAAGTCTACTCCACTTCCAAGTTCTTCTCCAGGTCCTCACCCTATGAGACTCAAAGTTCACAAGCCCCTACCAAAGTCTGTGTTTCTCTAGTCAACCAAAGACACAATTAGTTTAAAGCAAAAACTCAATGCCCAGAGACTTTTCTGCTACCTCTCTTTTATACCAGGCAGACAACTTAACATATAAGCATCAGTCTAGAGGACATCCTTCAGTGGTTTTTCTCCCATAGGAGATCCATGAATTTCTCTGAGCCTCAATGGAATGGGCCTTTTCTCTCCAGGAGATTGCAGAAACCCGGGACCAATCTCTTTGGAACAAAGATCCAAAACCATCTCAAATGACTTGTACATTCAGACTTAAGGGTATTTTGAATTCTATTTCCTGGTCAGCCATCTCTGGCATTATCTCTGCCAGGATCCTCTCTGTCTTGAGGTCAGAAAGTCCTGGCTTTACTTCCATTGCTAAACTTGTCTCAGATAGCATCTGCTAAGGGATGCCCTTTCTGAACACTGTAGAGGACTAAGTTCAAGGTCCTCAAGTGTGTTGATCCCCAAATCCTTGGTTCTTTCTTGCAAATGTAAGAGAGAGTGAACTGGTCCTGTGACCTCAGTGATTGAAATAACTACAGTGAGAAGATTTCCCCTACCAGTACAGTCAGCACCACCCTGTCTGTACGCATCATCCTAGAGAATGTCTGGGGGCACTGAAGAGGGTCAATGACTCGTCCTGGGTCACACAGCCAGGATGTGTCAGAGGTAGGACTTGAATCCAGGTCTTGCGGACTCGAAGGCTGTCAACAAGACCATGTTGCCTCATACAAAGGAGAGGAGGCCAAGAAAGACACAGGAGCAAAATCGAGCCCAAGGAGCAAGGCCACTGTGTGCTGCACCCAGCCACTCTCCTGGCCTTCTGTACATAACTGTAGTAGGAAAAAGTTTCCATAACATCTGTTTTTAAAAAGGCTTAGAAAGCACAAAGTGCCATGAACCTTTCGGGTCCTGTGATTAGTACTTCTGACACCATAGCACATAGAGGAAAACCTCAGAGGGGACTGGATTGGATCTGTCTCCCCCCACCTGCTTCTGACTGAAGCCCCTGAATTCACATCAAAGCTTCTCTGTCCTCAACAAAGACCCTACAACAATCCAAGCTGCTGCGCAGTCATCTGTAATCCTAAGAACCATGGACAATGGAAGCTAATTCCAGAGTCCTCTGGGGTTTGGGGCTGCTAGGATGATGCCAAGTATCCCAGACTGAGTCAATTGTATCCTCCTACCTGAGCCCACAACTGCTGGGTCCTGGGGCCAGAGCATATCCAGTGGCTGACCTGGTTCTCTTAGGACCATTATCAGTAAGCCCCTACCCACAGGGCCATTGGGTAGAGGAGGTCCTGCCTAAACTCCTGGAATTTGGCCAGAGCCAGCCCAGGCTAGTAATAGAAACAGCAGATATTGATTCACATTTGTTTCAGTGTTGATCAGAGGGCCAAGCCACTTTGAAGCTGACTTGAGCCCATTCTAAGTCACTCTCTGTATAGTATTTTATGCCCTTTTTAAAACATGTGGATATCTGAGTCACTTGATTATGAATTGAGAATTGAGAATAATGTTGAAGATATATGACTTTGATGTTTACAAAGCAAACATTGTCTCATTTTTATCCTCACTACAATCTGGGGAGTTGCTATTATTGATTAAGGAACATGACTCCAATCTCAGCTACTAAGTGCCAGAGGCAGGATTCCAACTCAGATCTTCCCGACTCCAAGGCAAGCACTGTACAACCTAGCTTCCTACTTTTAGGACCATGATTCCAAATCAATTGGCCTTGTGTTCAACTGTTACAGATGTCTTCGTTGGCCCTAAGGTCTGGCTTCTTGCCTCGAGTAATGGACAAGTAATGAGTCATTACAGAGAAGGCCTGACCTTCGATGATTTTTCTCACTGCCCAGGAATGTCCCTTGAAGAGAAATCCTCTGTGCCATTTCCCCTCTTCTAATCTACTTAGGGCTCACACCTTATGCAGGAGAAACACATAGAGCTGCCTGGTTCTTGGTGGAACGAGGACTAACCAATGTGCAATGCTGATGCTCTTTTGTCTTCTCTTAGGAACAAAAGAAGCTGATGGAGGAAGGGTTTAATGAGAAAGCTGAAGAAATGAAGAAAGAGATAGAGGACTTACAAACAAAGATTAAGGATGCTGAGAGTAAAAAGTCCTCCGGGTTGTCCTCAATTTTAGATAGTTTTGGCACCGCATTGATGGTCATGTTACCTGGTGTAGGAAAACTCATTGGTTTGGGGATAAAGGCACTGGGCAAATTGGTGTCATAACCAAATGAGTTTCAGTTTCTCAAAAAAAAATTAAAGAAGATATTTGTTCCACCTAATAAAATATGGCACTGAGACCTCCTTATATGTGTGTGTGAATTTGTGACCGTGTGTGTGTTTCCTGCTTCTAATTCTCCCAAGTATTAAAAAGAAAAGCTGATGCTCACCAGACAGGATAAAGAACACTGCAGGAAATTCACATGAAAAGCATTCAGCTCCTGAGATGAGGCTTCACTCCCCTAAGGGAAAGTCTTCTTTTCTTTAAGGCACATGGTCTAGAAGGCAGAAAGCTTGAGTTCTCCCCTTCCTTTTCATACCTCAACATTCAGAGCTAGAAGGAGCCTGGACAGTCATGGAATCTAACCGCCTCATTTTACACATGGCTCCTTGGCGGTAAAATGGGTAAGGCAAGAACTCAAGAAGATCTAAGTCATATCTGCCATCAGACACTTAAGAGCTGTAGGACCCTAAGAAAGTCACTGAACCTCTCTGTGTCTCAATTTCCTTATCCATAAAATGGGGGTGATAATAGTACCTACTTCATAGGCTTGGTGTGAGGATCAAATGAGTAAAACTCTTTAGAAACTTCAAAGTGCTATGTAAATGCTAGCTATTAATATTATGAAGACTGAGGCATAGAGATACACAGTGATTTGCCCAAAGTCACACAGAATACGAGACTTAAATTGATGCATCTTAAGTCTACAGTGGCATAGTGGATAGAGCACCGGCTCTGGATTCAGGAGGACCTGAGTTTGAATCGGGCCTGAGACACATAACACTTACTAGCTGTGTGACCCTGGGCAAGTCACTTAACCTCATTGCCTAGCCCAAAGAAAAAAAAAGTTCAGGTGGAATGGTTCCTGATTTCAGAATTACACTTTGAAGTAGAAATATTAATATTTGATCAACAGAAAGTGTATTGAGTTTATAGTCAGAAGACCTGAGCTCAAATGCCTTTACTGCCTATGTGACCTTGGATAAATCACTTAACCTTCCCCAGCCTCAGTTTCCTCCTCTGTAAAATAATTAGGCTGAACTAGATGATCTCCTGGGTCCCTTCCAGCTCTAAATCCCATTTCTTTTGGGTGGGTATTACTCAGAGGTACCAGAATCCCCTCTCTACTCTTGTCCAGAAGGTGCCTAACATGCTTCCTAGTCCTACAAAGTGACTTTGCAAGTTGTGCTCTTACAATTTCCAAGCAAAGAGAGCTCTCTTAACTAATAAATGAAGAAGTGTATGTAATTATATTCTTTGTGACAAGCCTGACTATGGCTCTGCAACTTCTAACTCAGAGGTTCCCAAACTTGTTGAGTTCACAGAATCCTTAGTGTCTCAGTGTTTTTTTCATAGCATCCCAGAGACAGAAGAAATACCTGAGGCTTGTTTATCAAATACTGTAACAAGTATTTGTGTGTCCTAACAATTTAGTAGCCATTTGAAAAATTAATACAGAAGCAGCTATGTGGCACGGTGGATAAGCTCCATCCTTGGAGTCAGGAGGACCTGAATTCAAATCTGACCTCAGACAGGTGACACTTACTAGCTGTGCAACCCTGGGCAAGTCATTTAATCCCGACTGCCTCATCAAAAGGCAAAAAAAATTAATACACATCAATATAAAGGAAAGATTTTTTTTATTTCACTCTTGAATACCCACAATTATTAACGGGACGTAGGTACCTGTTGAGCACAACACAACTTCTCAAACTTGTGATCCAACTGGACATTATACCCACCCACCCCCATTTCCTGTTCCAAGGTGATTTTTTGCTCAGTGCTTGCTTTTTAACTCAACGATTGCCAAAAACCCAGCTTCACCAAGACATGATGATATAAACAAGGACTTACTATCCTGGCCAAAAGCACAAGTGAACAGACTTATCTCAAACATTACAAAATGTCAATGAAAGGAATGTTGTGTGGTCTAACAATGAATCTGTGAGCTGTCTCTAGGCAATATTTAACCTGGTGTCTGACAGCTGTTGAATAGCCCTGGGTTTCCCTTGAACATTAAAACATCACATAATGCCCTTGTGAATTCTATGTGGATCCCGGGGGGGGGGGGGGGCGAATCTCAACATACAGTTTGAGAATCACATCCCATTCAGGCTTGTGGGACCAATAAGCGAAAATCTAATCTCTTTTCCACATGATACTCCTACAAGTAATTGGGGACACCTATTATGTTCCCTTTGGGGTTCTTTCCTCCAGGTTAAACCATTCTCATAGCTGGCATCTGAATTACCCTTTAAGGTTCACTAAGTGCTTTGGAGAAATTATCTCATTCAAGCCACACAACTGTGCTCATCGCACAGATAAGGAACCTGAGGTGCAGAGACATTAAGTCCATGGTCACCCAGCTGGGATGTGGGGCTGATAGAATGGGAGCCCTGCTCCTCCTGACTCCAAGTCTAACCCTATATCCAACTTGCCACATGGTCTCAAGTCCCATGTTAGTGGGTGGCATATCTTGTCACTTTTCCTTATCCCTTCCTGACCCAGAATATCCAGATGCTGGCTTTTTCAAATCCAAGAGAAAATAGGAAAGTCTCCTTGCCCTGCTCTACATTATCTAATAAGCACTAATTTATAAGGTCAGGGTTGATACAGAGGGCAGCCTGCCCTCCATGTTTGGCACAGTGAAAGCTGCCTTGGTCCAAGCTCTGGGATGTTCCCAGGAGTAAAGATCCACAGGCTATCTATATGGGACTAGAAACCCTGGGAAAACATCTACACACAAGACAGAAAGAATCCCTGGTAATCCTGGGAGGCAGGGAGGGTGACTGTCCCCACTCCTGTTCTCATGTCCTGGCTCCCAGAAAGGGCTGTAAAGTTCTTTACAGCTCAGCTATTTCTATAAGGGTTGGGTTCAACTGGGACTCTGGACCTGGTGTCTGGCTGTACCACCTGAGAACCCTCACCTGGAGGGACTGAAGTGACCAGAGTGTCAGTCTTGTCTGAGTAGCCACTGAAGGACTGGTTCTGGATTCCTGTAAGGAGGTCAGAATTTGGGGTCCTTGTTCCCTATTGAGAAATTGGATGACTTCCACCAATAATTTTTTTTGGTCTGGATCTAAGATTTCTTTGATGTAATAATCTGTTAGGGATGAAACTCCCTCTACTAACATAGGCCTACAACTGTTCTGCAACTGATAGTCTTAGAAAGCCTTCATGGCAGAGGGATATTTCCAGATTCAAAGCAATTTTTTGACAATTAATTATAAACTCAATTCATGTCACTCTTTGGTAGTTAATCTCTAAATCAAAAATGATTAGCTTCTCCATGTAGGGAATAAGTTCTCAACCTTTTTTTTTAATAAGGGACCACACACACACACACGCACACACGCACGCACGCACGCAAAGAAAGCACAGATGTGGGCTGATTTCCTAGAATCAAATCAGTTTCAGTTTCAATCTGACTCAGAGTTGGCAGAAGTTCAGTTAGCTATGAACTTTCTCTAGGAGAAAATGGAGGGGGAGGGGCAGTGGGCTGGCATTCTGGTGAGGAACTAGGTGCTATTACTAAACCTATTTTACGGAGGAGGAAACTCAGGCTGAGAGTGACTTGAACAGGGTCACAAAGCTGGTAACACTGAAGGGAAATCAGTTCTTCCACACTCCAAGGTCAGCACTCTCACCCATTGTGCTACCCAGGTGCCTTTAGGATTGGTAAGTGCACTAGATAAGGGGCAACAATAGAACAGAGAGCTGGGTTTGGACCCAGAGGACCTGAATCAAAGTCTGAGCTCTGCCATTAGCTATCTGTGTGACTTTTCAAGAGTCACCCAGCTGCTCTGTTTCTTTATCTTCTGACTGAGACAGTTGGTCTAGATAACCTCTGAGGTCTCTGAATCATTAATCTGTATAAAAAAGGAGGAAAACAAAAGGAAAAGAATTCATTATTCGACAAAATGTATTGTGAAAACTGGATGAAAATTTGGTGATGAATGGAGACAAATCTGTATTCATTCTACATACTACAACCATTTCCAAATAGATCAATGATCTAAATGTATTTTAAAGTCACACCATAAAAGCATAAAAGAAGCCATAGTTTTCACAGCTGATGAAAGGAGAACAATTCTCAACCAGCTAGGTCTTAAAGGGAATTATGAGATCAGATGACAAAGCAGAGAGAGGACTAGACATTTTCTCTGATCTCCACAACCTCTGAAACTGCTCCAGAACAGAAGTTATGCATCAAAGATAGAGTAACTTCCACTTTCTTCATGGGCTAGGACCAAAAAAAGATAAATCCCCAAAAAGGTAAAAACAAACAAAAAATAATCCATGAACTGGCACCTACTCTGAGCTCACTCAGCCCTCCTCCCACACTGGGCTGCCAGCAATGAGGCTGCATTAGCTATCCCCAGGACCCAACACACAGTCTCATCACAGAAATATAACCCCGCACTCCCTCCTTCCAGTGCCATGGAGATCCTGGCTCCAGGCTGTGGAATTTTGCTCAGGCCTTGAGAGGCAGCCAACGTTGGGCAGCATTGCAGGCTACAGAAGCTTCTTGGGGCCTGACATGTGGCCAGACAAACAGACAGCACCACGGAGGCAGGGGTCTGTGCTCCAAAAAATCTGAGAAGTCCTTCTAGAAGCAACGCCTCTCACTCTCTTCTTAACTTGTTACATTCTGGCTTCTGGCCTCATCATTCAACTGAAAATGTTCTCTCCAAAGTTGCCAATGATCCCTTAATTCCACAAATCCAATGGCCTTTTCTCAGGCCTCATCACTCTTGTCCCCTCTGCAGTCTTTAAATGAATAAAGCACTTATTAAATGCCTACTATGTGCTAAGCACTGGGGATGCAAGTGGAAAACCAAGACAGTCCTTGATCTTAAGGAGCTCACATTCTAAAAGGAGAAACAATGTGAACCGAAGATTTTAGCCTCAAATAAGATGGAAAACTCAAAGGCAGAGCCAAGGTGGTAGAGTGATAGGAAGCAGTGAGGTGAGTCCCTCCTCCAAACAGATCGAGATAATGTACCAGACCTAATACTTATGGGGAAATTCAGAAAAAAAAATTACAATGAGCCATTTGACCAGCCTAGCCCAACATAGGGAGACAG